TTTCACTTATGCCTTTCAGGTGAACGACCGCCACTGACCGATAAGAACAAAAGCGCCCCGGGAAACTTGGGCAAAAGCCTTGATCCTGTTTATCAATCCGTGAGTCTGTGAAACGGTATTTTCCGCAGCTCATTTGTTGGTTTGAACCTCCCAAGCAAGCGTTCCCATCATAAAAACCCACCAAAAGTGAAAAAATGTATAGTAAAGCCCAAAACCGACCAAAGAACATCTGTACTGCGCGTCCTAAATACTATAGGTTGCGAAAACCTGGAAATCCTGAGCCCTCTGGAAGCGCCATGGGCAACCGGCATTCGGCAAATGTTGGGTCATGATTGGCTGTTGTGTCTTTTCACGGATTCACGGATTGGTACACGGGATCGAGGGTTTTGCCAAGGTTTCCTGATTCTGTTTTGTTCTTGTCGGTCAGTGGCTGTCATTCACCTGAAAGGCACTAAGCTTTGTGTTCCCAGCGCGGGGATTCGCACAAATAAATGTCTAGTAGTGCTTTAAACTGGGTTCTAGAAGGAGCGTGGGCAATCGTCTTGATTTTGACCAATTAGACATCGGCTTGATGCTGGAACGGCAAGCGACCCGACTTTTGGTCAATCTCGTGCGGTATAGGCTCCTTGGCAGTGACAGTGCCCGCCTGCTAGCGGTAAAGCGGGATCCACGTGGAATTTCACCTACCAGTGTCTCTGCAGACCCAGAAGCTTGATGAACCCGAAAGGCTGAAGAAATGGAGGAGGCTGTAGCGTCTGTAATCCGTTGCCACATTTACCATTCTTCCTGAACTTCAACCACACTTTGTAACTGTCGTTCACATTATACCATTACGTTTGTTTTAATGTTACGAATACACAATTTTCCGGTGCGAACTGCTGACTTCTTGCTGAACGAGTGCAGTTATGCTCCATTGAACTGTTTGTTGACTGCTGAACAAGTGGGACTGCCTCTGTGTTTGTGTCAAATGTTCAACGTCACAATAAATCCCTGTGACATTTTTTAGCCGTGAATAATCTCCCTACCGTGGAATATATCGCTCACGCGGAACCATCTTCGGGAAAATTTCGATAAGTGAATATTTCCTTTCACAGCCAGTTGCTGCATTTGGATCG